GACTCCAAAGTCCAATTATTGGTGCTGTTAATAAAGTTTCAACATGAAGCACTTCTTATTCATAGTGTCACCCCTTCCACCGCACATGTTTATCAAAAGCATTTTTATCCCATTTCTTCATACCAAAACACAAATTCCATAACATAGTTGTCAACTTACAGATTTGAAAATAAGGGACCAGCAGCCAAAATAAGGGATTTTGGCTTAGCTTATACAGAAATCCCACACTCATGGAGCCATGCTGCTTTGGCTGCGACTGACTGTGTTTTGCAGGGGGTTGGACTAGATCAGGGGTCTGCAACCTTTAAGACAAAAAGAGCCACTTGGACCTGTTTCCGAAGAAAAAACAACTGGGAGCCGCAGCGGGCGGGAAGGTGACGTTGGGACGGTGCGTGACTAACGCACGCACTGCCCCCATGCGACGTCACAGCCAGTACAGCGCCCGCCACAGTAGGGAGTGTCGGGGCACACAATGCGCCTCCTCCCCTCGCTAGTATCCGCCCCAGAGCCGCGGCAAAGGTATAAAAGAGCCACATGCGGCTCCAGAGCCGCGGGTTGCAGACCCCTGGACTAGATGATCCTAAGGGTCTACAACTCCCACCAAAGAAGAGTGGCAGACAAAACTGACGTAGAGGTGGCAAAGCTTACAGGCAGAATTAGAAACCAGGAAGAGGACCTCTTTAATAAGGAATGGGGAAAGTTTATAATTTATTTGAAACACTATTGGAAAGAGTTACATACATTGGTAGGATTGACAGAAAACTTGTAGTAAAAATTTGAACTATGGATGGACAAATGATTTATAAAAATAGAGTTATGAAAGGGATGCAGAGGGGGAAATCACTACATTAAGATGCTGCACTGGTTGGAGGGTATGCTAAGCAGCACATTGGGGCTGCCGTCGTCCGGGCGTGAGGAGTTCCATCGGCCCTTCCCTGCCTGAGAGAGAGGGAGAGAGACTCTCGCCCAGGCTGCCCCAACCCGGCATAAGGCGGTTGCAGTGCCGCCGTGGCCGCTGAAGCGCCACCCTTCTGTGTCCCTCCCCATCCCCTCCTCTTCCTCCTCCCTCAGGCTGCCTCCTCAGCCGCTGCCACTGCAGCCCCCGCTGCCACCTACGGCTTCCCCTGGCAGCGCGGTGGAAGTCTCTCAAGAGCGGGGCTGCCCACCCGCCGCCACCCATCTCCTCACGACGCGCCCCTGAGGGGGAAAAGGAAGAGACGGAGACACGGCAGCTTGTGAGCGCGCTCTCTCGAGGCGGAGGACCCCGAGTCACTGCTTCCCTCCCGAGCTGGGCGAGCATGAAACCCAGGAAATTTAAGGGACATCATCAATCTGGGACAGCAGCGGAAAACGGCGCTGGGATAAGGGAGTTTCCCGCCAAATAAGGGACGGTTGACAGCTATGTTCCAAAACTCATAAGTAAACGGGGGGTGTGGGTGTGCGGATACTCAATTCTAAGCAAGAGCAAAGGATCAGGCACAACATCTGCAAAACACATGGCTCAGGGCTGGTACAAGACATTTTGGCACCTGAGGTGAACCACAAAATAGCACACACCTCCCTCCAAGGAATAAGGGACGAGTGAAGGTCTACACTGGGAACAAGGGGAGAATAAAGACCAAGATCTGCTGCCCCTGTGGATCCTGCCACCTGAGGCGGTTGCCTCACCTTGCTTAATGGGTGGCCCGGCCTCTATATGGCTGAATTGTAAAGACCCTGAGGGACCAAGTACATTCTCCAGACAGGGGTCACAGAGACAGGAATCAACAATTCCATGAAAGATAAAGCTATCTGGGGCTATTAACTGAGATCATTGTGTTTCACTCCATCCATCGTTGGAGGCAGTATGCCCCTCAGTACCGGAATCACAAGTCATCGGAGCCCTCTGGTCCTGTCTGCAGTCTTCCAACAGGGATCTGTTTGTCCACTTGAAACTAGGGTGCATAACTAGAAAGGCCTTTGGCCTCAACCAGCAGCCAGGCTTTCCTTAAGTTATTTAACCTGCAGCCCCACACCTTGCAGGCCACATGCAGTGGTGGGCCATACACCACTTTTTAATTTTCATTTCTGTTTTTGGATCAGGTCTTCTGCTTTTCAGATCTCACTCCTAAACACACAGACACTTCCTGCTGAAGAGGAAGGGCAGATGTGCTTCCCAAAGCAACCACTGCAGAACGCCTGATAGGGAACTAGAGTTGCAGAAGGAAGCCTCTCAAGTTCCTGACTCAAAGAAGGTGGCAGGAAAAGATTAAAAAGCAAGCCAGAGCAGGTTCACACAGTCCACGTTTAAAGCATGGAGGGGGAAAATAGGCATACTGTCCCCATCCCCACTAACCCCCCTGGCCTATCACCCACTATTCCAACACACGGCACAAAACCTCCAGATTAAAATATGGCAAGCCAAAGTCCTACACTGTCTAAAAGACTTCTACAAAAACACAAGAAATACAAGACAAGCTAGGGGACACGCGAGTACCTTGGCTAGCACACCATCAACTACATGCCATGTTAAACAATCCAGCAGTAAAATCAGCAGCCACTGGACCCTTGATCAGCTTCGAAAACATTCTCCTGACAGCAGGGGGGCACGGCAAAGGGATTGTTTCCACAATATACAAAATGCTGCTCCAAAATCCCACAACCCCCCTTGACACAATCAAACAACAACGGGAGCACAACATAGGATATGAAATTAGCCCCACTCAATGGACCAGAATGTGGTCTAAACCTCCCTTTGTCCATATCAGCCAAAAGAAGGAAACTCACTCTGAAACTCACAGGTGGTACTTAACACCACGGAAACTGGCATTGATATGCTCAAGAATCTCACTAAGATGTTGGAGAGACTGCACCTCTACATGTGGTGGCAATGTCCTAAAATCCAACCCTTCTGGATAGTAGTCCTTCAAGAGATATGCAAAATAACTAAACTGGTATTAGAAGTCACCCCAGAACTGGCCCTATGCAACATCATCCAAGTTAATAATGCCCACTCACATTATAAAGAGCTCATAACCCACCTACTCTCAGCAGCCAGAAGCCTCATAGCCAGACACTGGAGAGATCTGTCAGGAGTAAACATGAGCCAATGGTATCAAATTGTATGGGAAACAGCCTTACAGTGGTACCTTGGTTTTCGAACGTAATCTGTTCCGGAAGACCGTTCGAGTTCCAAAACATTTGAAAACTGAAAACTCAATACGGAAACCTCAAAACAGAAAGCCCAAACAGGAAGTCACCTCAGAAGTTCGACTTCCAAGGTGCGTTCGAAAACGGAAGCATTTACTTCTGGGTTTATGGTGTTCCGAGTTCAGAAACGTTAGTCAACAGAGACGTTAAAAAACCGAGGTACCACTGTACTAGAAAAACTAACCAATAAACTGAAACTGACATGGGGACAAATAGAAGAGGACGCCTTCAAGCCAGTATGGCTCCCCTTTATCACATACACAGCACAACAAGACGACAATAATCATACGAATCAATCTGGCTTACCTGACTCAACAAGCCCTGCCCCCGTCACAAATGCAAGCAAACCCCACTGCAGCCAACCACAGACAACCAACCACCAGTGGTGGAGCTTCATGCGCCAGCACCAGGGGGGCAGAGAACAGGTGGGGGCGTGGCTGCTGTGCGTCCTGGGGGTGGGGGTGCACCGCCCTGGGGGTGTGGCACGCTGCCTGCAGGGGCGTGGTGTCCAGCGCGGGCGGGGGGGCAGCCGCGATGGCACCCTACCAGGATCACGCCACTGTGGGCGATGCGCTCCCCCCGCACTCCCCTTCCTCCGCCAGTGCCAACCACACCCTGGGCCCCCAACCTCTTACACTACCAAGGAAATGTAATAAATGAATAGAAAGAGAACCTACCCAGCTGACACCGACACAAAATGTCACATGTACACTATACAAAAGAATATGAGCCTCACCACCCCACCCCTCGTCTCCCCACTCTTCTTCCCCAACATTATATGGTACTCAGCACTAAGGTCTCACAGCAAATGTAACTGATTTATAAGAAAGAATGTACAACCTGAAAAAGACATGTACTTTTGTCAACCAAGAAAATATTTAATAAAAATAAATATAATAGTAACAACAACAACAACAACAACAACAACAACAACACAAGCCAGAAGTGATGTTCAGCAACACCAACCTTGTGGTGCGGTTACAGCTAGTGATCTCTGCAGAAACTGTGTGGAAGAAGTCCCCACCCATGAACTGATGGGCAAGGGAGTTCAAGGCTGCTGGTTCAGCTCTGTGCCATCGACTTCCCTGTGGAGAAATCCTTGCAGGAAGCAGTCGAGGCAAAGTTGTAGAGAAGTGATTTCAACCCTGCTTTCTTCGGGGACTGGCAACCTGGCTGAGCTTGCGGGGGGGGGGGGCTCGGATAAGCAGTCGAGGCAGCAGTGCCTCTACCTGCTCTTTTTCAGTATCACAAATGGAGAAAATGGTTATGAAGGATTAATTGGGACCTGTGCCAATAGTTCCCCATCCTGAGCTATAGAGATCCAACCTTATTTTTCCAGCCTAGGAACAAGCAGTGTGATTACCAAGGCCAACGTCCACATCCCCGCTGCCAATCTTGCCAGTTCCTCCTTTCAACAAATCTCAGGCACTGCAGAGACTCCATGTTAAAGAGCCCAGGGTTAAAATCCCCACTCAGTCATGAAACTCACTGGGTGACCGTGGGCTATTCCCTGCCTCTCAGCTTAACCTAACTCACAGAGTTCTTGTGGGGAAATGTTGGGAAGGACAGAGTTCTGTGCACCACCTTGAGCTCCTCGGAAGGAAGGTGGGATAGGAATGAAATAAACCAGCGAATCCTGACTTTGAGGCATTCTCACCCAGCGTTTGCCAGCCCAGAAGCCTGGCTGTCCTCTCAGAACTTTGGCCGAATATGACTTGGCACCAGGGCCCACAACTCAAAGGGAGATCCTGGTTCTCGTGAAAGGTTCAAGGGGAGCAGGTTGGAGCGGGTCCCCCCTGGGAGTTTCCTACCTTCAGGCCTGTACTGGGCTACAATGGTGACCGTCTGCCCGGCCCTCTTCAAGGCAGCCGCCGCTTGTTCATGGGTCGCGTTCCGGAGATTGACGCCATTCACCTGGACAAACAGACCCCGCCTCTGTCAACTCACCTTGAAAAGGGGAAGCTGGTGCCACCTGCTCCTCCTATGATGGCACTGCACACTTATTTCCCACCATGCAACATTCCACCCCTCCCCCCGCCCTGCGACAGCCACAGCCCCACACCAACCCTCTCAATCCCCCATAGCTGCACATCCCAGGCCCCTCCTGCATCCAAAATGCTGGGAGCAACTTGTCTCAGGTGCTCAGCTGCATGACAAACGCCACAGCTTCTCAGGAAGTGAAAACCAGACCTGGCCAAGCTTGGTTGTTTCTTCCTGGAGGTGGCCTCCCTGGCCTCTGCACACTTTCTGTGCATTTAAGGGGCAAGCGTTACGCTGCAGGGCCCCACACGCAGGCTCCATTGAAGCTCAAGCTGGGAGGTTCGGCTGCGTGTTGGTTTTTTCCCTCCCTCTTCTCAGAGTGAAGAGGAAGCAAGCTTCCACAACGGCTGGGCTGGGCTAAGCCAGACCGGTCTGGTGAGCTGCTCTGTGTGGGCAAAGCCGCTCTGTGTGGGTTAACACCTTAGTGCCTGGGGCAGAATCTCTCCAGTCCTGGAGAAGGGCTGGAGGATAGGTTGGGGGGTGGGGGAGGCAGGTGCTCCCACCTGCTTGCTTCCCAGTTCAGAGGTCAGCAGCAACTGTGTACCAGAGCCCAGAGAACTCTCCAAATCCACCTCCTTGCATTAAATAAGACCTCAGAGCAACACCAGTAAAGGGGCCTCATGTTCCACTCACCGAGAGGATGCGGTCTCCACGCCGCAGCTCCCCACTCAGGTCCGCTGGGCCCCCTGCCAGGATGAAGGAGACAAAGATGCCCTCGCCATCTTCACCCCCTACAATGTTGAAGCCCAGGCCTGTGGAGCCTTTATGTAAGGTGATCTTCCGGGGCTCCCTGTAAAGGACAGAAGGCAAACATGAAGAGGATACATAGCCGGGGGGCAGAATCAGGGCCCACCTGAACATGATTCAACATCCCATGTGCATCACACAGTTGGCACCCAACAACTGCTACCCACTCTGAACAATCGGTAGAGCTGCAACCATAACCTAAAATCTCAAAAACGTAGGGCAACACCTTCAATAGGGCAATAAGAGTATTGTCCGTGTGTGTGTGTGTGTGTGTGTGTGTGTATGGGCCAACGGAGTTACATTTTACTTTTCAGAGCAGAAACAAATTGCCAGTATGGAGAATGAACTGGAAAGAGTGCAGTACCAGGAATCTTCCTACCTTTCCATCTCATGGGAAGCTGATACCATTTCTCTGCCTTGACTGGCTGGTCTTATGCATGATCCTATATCCCTGGGCAGTTATGATATGTGCACTCTATAAGTCAGAAAGATTAGTCCCCACTTCTGCACCAAGAAAAGGTGAATTCTGTGTCTGGTGATGCAAAGACGTATATTTTGCAGTACCAGGAATCTTCCTACCTTTCCATCTCATGGGAAGCTGATACCATTTCTCTGCCTTGACTGGCTGGTCTTATGCATGATCCTATATCCCTGGGCAGTTATGATATGTGCACTCTATAAGTCAGAAAGATTAGTCCCCACTTCTGCACCAAGAAAAGATGAATTCTGTGTCTGGTGATGCAAAGACGTATATTTTGCAGAATATATTCTGCTGCTGCTGCTGCTGGTCGCAGAAGAAAACAAAGTAAAGACACTACCTGTGTCTTAAGGAGAAGGTTCGGGAATGGGAGGTTGGTGGAGGAATAGCTGGCGAGTGGCTATTGTGAGGCAGAATTCCTTTAGGTGCCAGAAATAAAGGAGGGAAGGTGTGGCTTCTCTTTGCAGTCCCTCCAGTGACAGCCTAAAAGGGAGCTGGAAAAACACCCCACCCCTTTCTGAGACCTTCCAGTGCCCTTGTAGGAAATATATAGAAAGCAGAATGCAAGCAACAAGATTCCATCCACCCCTTTGGCATGTAAATCAACAAAGACCAACTCTGAAGTGCCCCCTTTGCTGGCACATGGCCCATTCCTCCCTCGCCCTGATGCATGCAGACTTCGAGCCCTACCCCTTTCACTATGCAGCCCTCAAAGCTGGAAGCCCCCCATACAACCCCATTGCTCACTAGCTCTGCCTCTTCCTTTCTCTGGACAAATGAAGGTGCAATATTAGGGCTCTGTTACCTTGACCCTCTGTGCAGGTGCCAAGTCCTGGGCTGGAAGAGGCAGGTGTACCCCAGGAGGATTTCTGGAAGCAGCACTGTGTCCAAAGAGCAGCCAACTGACCCCAGGGCTTGTGACCAAGGCTTGGACCATGCCCCTGCTTGCCAACCCAGCAAGGGGCCTCACAGACCCTCCTCCCCAAGAAGAAGTACAGAACAGAGAGCCCTGGTACCTGGTCCTTCTTTTATGCCTGGCAATGGGTTGCTGCTGGAAAGGGCGTTTCCCATAAGACATGGAGGAAGAGACATTGACGGTGATCATAGTGGCAGCTTCTCTGAGTGTGCAGACTGGGGAGCGCAGCAGCAGCAGCCTGCATTTTATCTGAGCTTCTCCCAGCCCTCCCTCCTCTGCCCTGCTTTCAGAGGGGGGGGGGCTACAAGAGCCATCATGAAAAGGTTGAGATGAACCAGACTCCAGGAAGCCCATGGTGTTGGGAGAAGGCATGCCAGGAACCATTAACCCCTCCTTCCCTAGCGGTCTTTGTGCCACTCAAATGGAAAAGGTGGAAAATGGAGTTTTTAGGGGATTGTTCTGCAAGCTCCTGCCCTTTCTGAGTGTTATGTACTAAGCTTGGATCCTTGAACAATAGGCAGGTAGGATCCTGGAATGCAACAACTGATTGGCTTGCAGGAAAAGACCAATCAGGCTCCAGGAGAAAGTTAATCAGTCTATTAGGCTGGTAGGATTGTAGAATGCAACAACTGATTGGCTTGCAGGAGAAGACCAATCAGGCTCCAGGAGGGAAGCAAATGTACCATAAACAAGGCCCTTACGGCTCATGCATACCCGGTGCCAGTGGTCAGCCATGTCCTCGCCACCCTGGCAGGGTCTAAGATTTTTGGCAAGCTGGACCTGGCCCAAGCCTATCAGCAATTGCCAGTGGACGGGGCCACCGCTGAGGCACAGACGATTGTAACACACAGGGGCTCGTTCCATGTCAAGTGGCTGCAATTTGGCCTCAGCGTGGCACCAGGCATATTCCAAAATCTCTCCTCAAAGGAATTCCCTTCTTCAATGATGTGTTGATCGCCGGGGGAGTTCAGGCACCGTCCTGCACCATTTCTAGACGGCTGGCCTCAAGGTGAAGTGGGGAAACTGTCTGCTAGGAGTGCAACAGGTGAATTTTCCAGCATTTACGATGGACGTAGATGGAGTCCACCTGACCGGGGACAAGGTGCGGGCTATTTTAACGCCCTGGCACCTAAGGGTAAGGCGGAACTCAAGGCCTTCTTGGGACTATTGAACTTTTACCATGCCTTCTTACCCCACAAGGCAGTGGTAGCGGAGCCCCTACACAGACTGTTAGACAAGTGGGCCCCATGGGTGTGGGGACAGCGCCAGGAGGCCGTGTTCTAAGCAGTCAAAGACCTGCTTGTCTCGAACTCCGCCCTAGCGCACTTTGATGAGAGGTTGCTGGTGGTGCTGACATGCGACGCCTCGCCCTATGGCGTTGGCGCCATCCTAGGCCACCAACTTCTGGATGGAAGAGAGGTGCCGATGGCTTACTTTTTCCAGACCCTCTCCACAGCCAAGAGGAACTATTTGCAAATAGACAAAGAGGGCCTGGCAATCGTGAATGGAGTAAAGAAATTTCACAATTTCTTGTATGGGTGCCCCTTTACCGTGGTGACCAACCACAAGTCGCTACTTGCCCTACTTGCCCCCGAGAAGCACATCCCTCAAGTAATGTCACCCCGCGTCCTCAGGTGGTTGATTTTCCTCACCGGCTACCAGTATAAAAGGGTCCACCGGCCCAGGAAGGTGATGGGCCGTACAGACGCCCTCAACAGACTGCCACTACCTGAGACCAGCCCTGACCCAGCACCCGCACATGACGTCATGAGCTTGGAACAGCTTCCTGACCGCCCCATTCAGGCGCTGGAAGTAGAATGCCACTCCATGAAGGACAGGGTCGTCTCCCGGGTCCTGGACTGGGTGTAGCGGGGATGGCCCAGTAGCAACCCCAAACCGGAATTTGCGGGCTATACGGCACGCAATCATGAACTGTCAGCCCACAAGGGGTGTGTGTTATGGGGAAGCAGGGTGGTCGTTCCCCAGCCTCTTCGCCAAAAGGTCCTCACGAAAGCCCTACATGAAACACACCCAGGGGTAGTGAGAGTGAAGGCCCTTGCAAGGAGCTATGTGTGTTGGCCGGGAATGGACGGGGAGATAGAGGCCTGGGTTAAATACTGCCAGACCTGCCAGAAGTCCTGCCCAGATCCCCCAAGGGCCCCCATCCAACTTTGGGAGTCTGCCCGAGCGCCGTGGTCCCGCCTGCTAGTGGACTTCGCTGGCCCCTTCCAGGGATGGACAACCTTCATTGTGGTGGACTCATACTCCAAATGGCTGGAGGTTGCCCTGGTACCGTCCACTTCCACGGCCGCAGCCATCTGAGTACTACGTAGGCTGTTCGTGACCCATGGGTTCCCTGACACCCTCGTCTCGGACAACGAAACAGCATTCATGCCAGAGGAGTTCCAGACCTTCACAATGCAAAGTGCCATCCGGCACGCACGATCGGCACTGTTCCACCCCGCCACCAACGGCCAAGCAGAGCACATGGTGCGGATCAGCAAGGACGCCCTCCGCCACATGACGCAAGGGGACTGGAATAATAATAATAATAATAATTTATTATTTGTACCCCGCCCATCTGGCTGGGTTTCCCCAGCCACTCTGGGCGGCTTCCATAGAAACCAAAAATACAGTAAAATATCACAGATTAAAAACTTCCCTGAACAGGCCTGCCTTAAGATGTCTTCTGAATGTCAGGTAGTTATTTATCGCTTTGACATCTGATGGGAGGGCGTTCCACAGGGCGGGCGCCACTGCCGAGAAGCAGTGGCGTAGCGTGGGTTGTCAGCACCCGGGGCAAGGCAAGTAATTTGCGCCCCCTAACCCGTGGATTTGCGCCCCCTAACCCGTGGATTTGCCCTAACCTCCAGATGTTGCGCCCGGTGTGGCCGGCCCCCCCTGCACCCCCCACGCTACGCCACTGCCGAGAAGGCCCTTTGCCTGGTTCCCTGTAGCTTTGCTTCTTGCAATGAGGGAACCGCCAGAAGGCCCTCGGCGCTGGACCTCGGCGTCCGGGCAGAACAATGGGGGTGGAGACGCTCCTTCAGGTATACTGGGCCGAGGCTGTTTAGGGCTTTAAAGGTCAACACCAGCACTTTGAATTGTGCTTGGAAATGTACTGGGAGCCAATGTAGGTCTTTCAAGACCGGTGTTATGTGGTCTCGGCGGCCGCCCCCAGTCACCAGTCTAGCTGCCGCATTCTGGATTAGTTGTAGTTTCCGAGTCACCTTCAAAGGTAGCCCCACGTAGAGCGCATTGCAGTAGTCCAAGCAGGAGATAACTAGAGCATGCACCACTCTGGCGAGACAGTCCGCGGGCAGGTAGGGTCTCAGCCTGCGTACCAGGTGGAGTTGGTAGACAGCTGCCCTTTATACAGAATTGACCTGCGCCTCCATGGACAGCTGTGAGTCCAAAATGACTCCCAGGCTCGGCACCCGGTCCTTCAGGGGCACAGTTACCCTATTCAGGACCAGGGAGTCCTCCACACCAGCCCGCCCCCTGTCCCCCAAAAACAGTACTTCTGTCTTGTCAGGATTCAACTTCAATCCATTAGCCACCATCCATCCTCCAACCGCCTCCAGGCACTCACACAGGACCTTCACCGCCTTCACTGGTTCTGATTTGAAAGAGAGGTAGAGCTGGGTATCATCTGCATATTGATGGACACCCAGTCCAAACCCCCTGATGATCTCTTCCAGCGGCTTCCTATAGATGTTAAAAAGGATGGGGGAGAGGATGGAACCCTGAGGCACCCCACAAGTGAGGGCCCAGGGGTCTGAACACTCATCCCCCACCACCACTTTCTGAACACGGCCCAGGAGGAAGGAGCGGAACCACTGTATGACAGTGCCCCCAGCTCCCAGCCCCTCTAGACGGTCCAGAAGGATGTTATGGTCGATTGTATCAAAGGCCGCTGAGAGATCCAGCAGAACCAGGAAACAACTCTCACCTTTGTCTCTAGCTCGCCGGAGATCATCAACCAGCATGGATGTTGGCATGGATGTTAAAATCCCCTAGGACAACCCAACTAGGTGTCTCCAGGAGAAAATCCGCCACAACCTGAAGCAGCTCGGACAGGGAATCCTTGGTGCAGCGGGCAGGTCGGTACTGGAAGTCCTGCCTCACTGCTTTTCTCCTAGCCCAGCATAGTACCCCCAGCACAACGACCGGCCAGAGCCCAGCAGAACTACTCATGGGCCGGCGCCTCACAACAAGACTGGACCATCTTCAACCTGATAGAGCCCAGGACGAGGCAGCAGTGGGGGAAGGTAGGAACCCCTGGACCTTCCAGCCCCGTGACTCAATGTACGCAAAGAACTTGGGAGCGGGCCCGGCAAGGGTACCCGCCACAGTCACCAGGGCGACTGGCCCTGGGTCGTACGAGATGCTAACAGGGGGGGGCAAACCTGGCGCCGCCACTGCGATTAACTATAGCGACGATTCCTGGGGGGGAAACTGCGAGGAGGGCTGGACAGAGGAATCCCAAGGGGACAGCAGAGGGGTGAGGCCCATAGAGCATATGCACACAGAATTGTTGGTCCACCAAGCGAAAGGGTGCATTTGGGGGGCCTGCCCCCCTCCATTCTCACATTCTTGGGTTTGGGAATCTTTTGTTTCTCCCACCTCTAAATTGTAAACAACCCACCTGCTTCCTGGTCAGGATCCCTGACCCAAACCAAGGCTCCTGAGGGTCACTACAAGGCACAGACCCCTTTTTCTTCCTAGCCAAGAAGTTCCACGGTGCCCTCGTGTGGCCAATAGCAATCTGTACAGTCATGTGGCTTTGGAATAAAATAATGGATCTGGAGTCACGGAGGTCATGCCCTCCAACACTCAGGGCTTTTCCCTGTCATGGAATAAGCAGCAATGGCTGATGCCCATCGCAGGGCAGAAAACAGGGAGGCCAAGAGCAAACAGAGGCAGAAGCAGTGACAAGCAGAGCCCAGAGCCAACAAATTTGTTTTTGTTTCCATCTTCCGCCCTGCTGAGTTGTACAAGGAGAGCGCTAAGACTGAGGAGAAAGTCCTCACTTTACTGAACCACTCTCCATAGTGAGTCCCCACCTGCTTATCTTCACAGTCATTCATGGTCTTACCCATCCTCTCTAGAGGACTGTTAGCCCTCAGAAGAAGAGCCTCTGTCCCTTCTGGGTACAAAGCAGTGTCTGGAACACAGCAGGGTGCAATAAAATGTTGGCCAGTGTACCTTTGTTACTTTAAAACTGCTTGGAACTTTTGGGGGAAAGCAGCATGTAAATACTTTAGCAAACAAACAGTTTTGCCCTTATCATAAGCAGATAAGAAAAGATCAATGGCTCAGCATCCAGTTCTCACAGTGGCCACCCAGATGACTGTGGAAAACCCCGAGCAGGACCCGAGCAAAGCAGCGCTCTTCCCTGCTGTGGGAACTGATATTCAGAAGCAATACTGGCCCTGACCTTGGAGGAAGGGCTTAGCTACCATGGCTAGTATCGCCACTATCATTTTGTTTAGCAGTTAAAAAGTGCCTTCTCAACTGTGTAAAGTGTTTTCAAATGCATCACCTCAGTAATCTGCATAATCCAACCGTGGGAAACCTAATACGACCCACAAATACTCCCCACCTGTGCTGCAAGGCCATTTCGGCCAAGTCACACCTACCTGCCTTAGACCTGATGACATAAATGAGCCAAACGGAGGTTTGCAGGCACCTGCAAAAGCCCCGCACGGGGCTTTGGAAACCCCGGCAACCAGCCATTCATCAGCACTTTCAAAGTACAGGCCTTTGCCCCAACAATTTGATTTCCAACAATGCTGGGGGGAAAGCAGGTTACAGGGCTGCCCTGACTTGCAAGGTTTTTGGGAGGGATGCTGCAGCAATGTGCATTAAGTACTGGGAGCATGAAAAATAGTTGTTTTCCTCATCCACATCCCCATTTTTCAAACATGATGATGAAGCAGTTGAAGAAGACTTCCAGCACTTTGGGGCTGGACCTTTGATGCCTTGTCTGTCCTCCATGACAATTACGCAGCAGAAGATCACGCAGCTTTGCTCAATTTGCATAAGACACCCAGTCCACAGAATCCACCTTTTCTGGTGCAGGATTCTGATTTTTATTTTCTCAGTGGTAAAGGATACTGAGCCTCACCCCACACTCTCCATTTTGGAGACCCACATTTCTGGAAGCCATACAGCCACCCCACATCCCCAGTCATGCCCCACAGCTGCCTGAACTCATGGGAGAAGCAACAAGAAAAAGGAGGTTAGCAAATGGGGCAGGACTCTGCATGCCTCGTTTGCTGCCAAATCAGTTGGAATGGAACTGGCCCTACAAATGTCTATCGGAGAGGAAGTTATACCCATGTTCTTTAGATATGAACTACCAGGTTCTTCCAAGGGAGAGGCAGAGGAGGTGGGGAAGGGGGTTCTTGCTCACCTGGTGAAGTCCTCATCCCCAATCATATGGCGTGGCACAGGGGAGTAGCGGGCAGGCGCGACCTGGGGCGGAGCAGGGTAAGCTGGCTTGCTCTCCATTCCTCCAAGGTAGCCCAGGCCAGGGTTATGGCTTATGTGATTGTCAGCCAAGGCAGAGAAAGCTAAGGAGACACAAAGAAGAGGCATCAGTGAGGCAGAACAAAGGGGGCTGAGGCAGGGCTGTGGTAGGGCTGAGGTGTGGGGTGGGGATCCTTGTTTAGAGCCAAGGCCCTGGCCCCAGGTGGGGAGCCTTCTGAGGCCCACATGGCAGCCATGGACCAGAAGGGGAAAGTTGGCAGAATGACCTTTGTGCAGTAGGTTACATGGCAGTCACCAGAAAAGTGAAAGGCTTCCATGCACTCATATCTCTATTGCCATCCAGGCAAGGAAGAGACATTCCTCCAACTCTACAATCCTATGATTCTGTATTTCCACAGTTCATGGGTAAGTTCCAGGCAGGCAAAGGCATTCAAGCTGGCTGCTGAGCAGATCTGGTGAGAGGTACGTCCTGAAGAGCAGTGGTGTGGCTTAGCTAGAATCCCACAGTCCAGATGGAGAGGTCTAGATGTTCTCCACCTCTAGGCTAAGGGATACTCTAGAGAGCACCCCATCTTTCTCCCCCTCAGTGCCCCAGGACTATAAATTCCCCCTGGTGCCTGTGAGGTCAAGAGTGGGATGAAATCTGCCCCCCCCACCTTTTTCCTTGCCTTCTCCTCTTGGGTCTGTGTGGGGGGTGGGAAGCAGTAACTCAGCGCCTGACATGTTCTCTGGTGCAAGAACTGACCCAATACATTTTGGCAGCTGAGGCCGGATCTGTTGTCCCCGTGGCTCCTGCTGCTCAAGGCGATGATTCAACTTGCCTCATGGGTGGGCTGGTCCTGTCCAGCACCTCCTCTAAGGGCAAAGGTTTGCTGATAGGAGGAGGGGCCAGAGACAATCCCAGTACAGGAGGGGCCTTACTGGAAGTGTCTGACAGCACAGAAGCAAAACCTCCCCTTGTGTCGCAGACTAGTTGCACACAGAGGAATGGTGGGAGGCACCAGTTGAGGAACCTCCAAAGGAAGAAGGCTCAGGTAGGACAAGGATGAGTGGTCAGAGAGAGAAGAGGGAGAAGACTGGGAAGAGTGGATGTCAGTAGCTGAAGAGGTAACAGGGCTTAGTGAGCTGGGAGAGTGTGGCAGAAGCAGAGGCTGGAGAGGAGGAGGGCCGTGAGGCAAAGAGGAATCAGGCTGGTGAAGAAGCCAGGGTGGCTCCCCCTCCTGCTGTGACTACCTCCCCTCCCACCTGGTCTCCCAGAACCCACAGAGGTATGAAGAGGGTGGAGCAAAGAGAGACAAGGCATTGGGAGTCTCAGATTGCTTGGGAAGGGGGAGACGTAGGCAGCTGTGGGAAAGCGGGGCAAGACCTACCAAGAAGAGTTGCTGTGCTCATTAGGCCTGAGCAGATCTTGTTACTAATAAAGAGTTCACTTACTCTGTGTGATTTATTACTGACTTGCTCCTGACACTTTGACATCCCGCTGGGACTCTCCATGGGAACTGATCCCACACTTTCTGGTTCCACAACCACCTCCTCCTTCTCCTCCAGCTCCGGGGCTTCCTGATGCCCTGACAGAACCTGTCCCAACCCACTGGGACCATGCACAGGACCACCAGTTCCCAGCTCCCCCCCTTCTTTCTGATCCAAACACCCACTTCAGAACACCTCCACAGGGCTCATGACACCCTACATGCAAAATAGCTTCTCTTCCACTGAGCTCTGACTCCCACCCCAGGAGCAGGAGGCAGGGGAGGGCAGGTACGTACTGCTGGCGTAGTCAGGTGGTGCATACATGTCGTTGAGGTGGGAGCTGCCTGGCTTGGCCACCTTCAGGTACACCATGTCCGAAGTGTTCTTCAGTGCAGCCACGGCCTCCTCATGTCGGACGTCTTGCAGGTTGGTGTTGTTCACCTGGAGAGAGTGGGTATGGCAGGGGCAGGAGAGAGAAAACAGCCAGAGGCTTGTCTATAGGCCAGAAGTGTTGCAGATCTGACAGACTGAGCCAACTGAGATGGGCCAATGAGAAGAAACTTGCTAAATCAGATGCATCCCACAGTGCCCAACTGCAGTAGTGTCTGACTGCCTCTGAGCATGGGTGCTCCATCCCTATCATGGCCAATGACAAACATAACAAAACGACTCCAGTATCCTACTTCCCATGGGCGTATCCAGGGTTTATGTTGTGGGGGATAGGCTTTATGTTGGGCGAGGGCAGAACTGAGTTATCTGTGATGCAATTGGTTAAGTGTTTTTATTTATTTACTTGACTAGGAGGGGCACCTGCCCCCCCAGGCTATGCCCATGCTGCTTCCTGCAGCCGGCAATTGGATGGGCCTGAAGGGCACAGGTCTCCCCAGTTTTACATTCCCAGTTCAGCAGAGAGAGACTGCCTCTGAGCATGAGTGTTCCACTGTGAATGAAAAACCTAAACAGAGGCCTGCCGGGATCAGATCATCTAGCTGCCTTCCCACAGTAAACGAACGGATGCTTCTAAGAAGCCATGCCAGGCCGCAAAATGTTTTGGGGTGGCCACACAATTGGCAGGCACTGCCCAGCACCCAGCTCCCTTGCACCGAGAGTTGATGCCATCCATGCTGTCACCCATCCCAACGCTTCGAAGAAAACAAGTCGGGTGCTCACTGCTAGCAGTCGGTCGCCAATCTGCAGCCGCCCATCTTTCTGAGCCGCACCACCTTCTATGATCTTGGTGATGTAAATGCTGTTGTCTCCAGGGATGTGCTGGTTCCCGAGACCCCCGGCGATGCTGAAGCCCAACCCTGGGGAGAAGGAGGTGGGGTTAGGGAGCTCTGCGATGGCTGCGCTGGGATGTGGAGAGATCTGCCTGCCATGGGCCACGTAAGAACATTAGGAGAGCCTGGATGTGGGCTTAGGCCAGGGGCCCATCGAGTCCAGGATCCTGTTCTCACAGTGGGAACCCAGATGCCTGTGGGGAACATGAAAGCAGGATCTGGGTGCAGCAGCAATCTCTCCTCTTGCAGGTTCCAGCAACTGGTATTCAGAAGCACTAACACCTCCAACTGTGGAGGAAGAGCACAGTCACCCTGGCTAGTAGCCATTGATAGCTTGATGCTCCATTAATTTGTTTAATCCATTTTTATAGTCTGCTATGTAATCTGGTATAAAATCTCTGGGGTGTTGTTTTTTTCCTCCCAGGCTACTGCCCCTAGGCCCATTATCCCTCCCCAGTTTTTCACATTTCTATCCTTTCCTTAAAAAAAAAAAAAAAAGACTAGTAAGCAATAGGTGGGCGAGAGCGCAAAAAAGTGAGTTTCTGGGTCACTGAATTCTAGACTCTTAGAGGAGCAGGTTGCAGGCATTGGGTTGGAGGGTTTGCTGAGGAGGAGCAAGGGACAGGGGTGTTGGGACCTGTGTCCCTGGCCCCTCCTCTCCGGTGGGCTCTGTCACCTACTAAAAGCCACAGAACCCTGCTACACCAAAGGAAGTTTGCCAATATCCAACCCTAAGGAGCTGAGTCAGGGCCATGACCTTCTGGAGGCCCAAGAGATGGTCTGTGCCTCTGTTGACAGCCTGCTGGAGACCTCCTTCTCAGCAGCAGAATCTGGCTCTTGATTGCACAGGTTAGATGGAACCTGCCCCTGGACTGCTGCTCCTTCACCACAGAAGGAGCACCAACTTCCGCACGATCCCTGCCAGTGTCTTTGAGCAATCTCTAGTTTTTCCTTGGACCAGCCTCACTCTCTGAGTATAAGGAGGTTGCCTTATACTGAGTCAGGCCCTCTTGTACAGCACTGTCTCTAAATCAACCAGCAGCAGGCAGGCAGGGAGTCTCTCCCCAGTGCTACCTGGAGATGTTGGGGATTGAACCTGGGACCTTCTGCACAGACCATGGAGTCCAGCAGTGAGCCATGGGCCTTTCCACAGGAAGCTGCCTTACACCGGGTTGGACCATGGGTCCCTCTTGCCCGGTATTGTCACTATGCTACCTGGCAGGATCTCACCAGGGTTTGAGCCAGGAAATGTCTCCCAACCCTACTTGGGCTTGAGACCAGGACCTTGTGTATGCAAAGCTGATGCTTCACTACTGAGCCACGGCCCTTTCCCTTCAACCTCAGCAGCTCTTGCTCCAACCACCCCACTTTGCCCTGGACAACTGGGACAAACCCACCTGGGTGTTTGGATCCACCCAGCACTGACCCCTGCTTGGCTCCTGGCCGCAGCCCAACTTCACGGCAGGGGCCTAGAGACCACTGGCCTCCAGGTTTATCCACCAGCCGGGAAGCAACAGCCCCAGATCCATGCTAGCACATGACTGCCAGCAGGGCCCACACCCAGGGCAGTCACCTTTGGGTCCTTTCATCAGGTTGACCTCCATGATGGTCTCTGGTGGGGGCTGCCTTCTCCGCACCAGGAGCCTCACCACAGGCCCCGCTTCCTTCAGGGCCTCCACGGCCTTGCTGTGCACGACCTCGGAAACATCGACCTCGTTCACTCTCAGGACACAGTCGTTCACCCTGCGCCACAGGGGCAGAACAGCCAAAGAGGAGATGGTGAGGGAGGGGAGAACTCCGGAGGGCTAGCATAAGTATGTATATAAATATTTTAAAGAAAACGGCCCTCAATCGCTCCTTAGTGGTTCCCCAGCAGAATGCCCTAAGATGGGCAGGTGCAGGGCCCAAGGTGAGCAACCACCCCAAACCCTCCACCCTTACCTCCTGCTGTGTCCTCATTTTACTTTGTAAAATTCAATCAATTTTCTGGGAGAAATCCTGTTTTTAAAATTGGTGTGGTGGGGGTGGAAAATATGGCAATATGGAAAAGCTGGATGGGGGTATGGGCATTGACCTTGGGCCAACTGATAGATGAAGAAATCAAACATTATACTTATGGTGCATTAAGAGAAAATATCATCTGCCAGTTGTGGCCCAATGGCAATACCTGCAATTGTAACTCCTTTTAATAACTCTTGTTTGGTCCGGGAGCCTTCTCGGCTTAAGAGAACCCTGAAATATTGGAGCAATTGGATAATTCATTTGAAGGTAAAAAGCCAGGATTACTTTTTATGGATATTTATTATGAATAAATAAATTCTGATATGCAGAGTTTTAAAAAAGACTAGAATAAAGAATTCAAATGTTGACTATGAACCAGAAAATGGGAAATTGTTTTAGCTTTGGGAGCAGATGTATCGATTATATTAAGACTTATGTAGCAGAAAATATTATTCGGAATTTATTGGACTCCCTTATGCCTGTAGAAGAAAGGGCTATCTAATGTAGGCCTTTGCTAGAGATGTAATATGGATAATGATTCTTGAAAACAAACGTTTTTACAATACTTACTAAGTTTTAGGAAAGAGTGCTGGACTGTATAAATAAGATGCTATGGAGAAATTTAAGACTTTCAGAAGTGAATATTATTTTGAACTATATACCTACTGTATGGAAAGTGACAATGTGACAGCAAAAATGGGCTCTACGTGCCCCTAATGGTTGCTAAGAGACTAATACTGATGAACTGGAAGAATAGAAATATGATTCCCCTTAATCAATGACTTGACAACATGACAATATTAGAAACATATGAATGTACCGCTTATAGACACAGACTTTCTTTGCATAAATAAAATGATATCTAGAACGACTTTACACTGAATATATGCAGTTACTAATAAAATTAGTATTTGAATAATAATAATACTATAAACATTTGTATATTAATGTATGGAAATGTAATTGAGTATTTTTCTTTTATTTTTATTTCCATTCATGTTTTCTTTCTTTCTTTTTTTGTTTTCATCACTTTTTTATAAGTGAAATTCTAATAAAATATCGAAAGAAAGAACGAAAAAGAATCTCAAAGTGGTTAAATCAACATGTTAAAATGGGGCCCATGGGCACTTTTGAGCAGCTGCAGTGGGTGCCACCCCACTTCTGATCACTTCTCTTTGGCTTCCCTAGACGAGGACCATCTCTGAGAAAGAGAGAGGACATGCATGGAAACGCTTCCTTTTTCCAAGGGATCTGGGCAAAAGTCAGATCCAGTAGAATTAACTTGAACCTTGAAAAGCACATAGAGCTGAAAGAGGAAGTTGGGAAGAGCGTCACCCTTCCAAATTCCTCCTTCAGCTGTATGGGCTTCTCAGGAGAGAAAAAGGCAACCATCTTCACTACCTCATGACCAAGGATGAGGTGAGTGAGGAGGCTCAGAGGTTTCATGGGCAGCAGAGGAAGACCTCATGGGTGCCCTTGAGCCCACAGGTGCCATGTTGGCAACTTTGTGTTAAGCGTACACTGAAACAAAACATGCATATACAAAAAACACAATCTAAAAATAGTCTGAGTGGTACGACCGTGCATTAACAGTCAGGAAATGGCTGAATGAATAGCTGTGAGTATCTACAGAGAGTCTAAAACACACTTTTTAATTTGTTTTGTTTTTACGGCACGCACGCAAGCACGCACGCACACACAGTTCATCAACAAACATCTCATTTTAGGTTGCTTATCTGTACCTGCTTCCCTCCGCCCCCCCCCCCAAGGCTCAAGATCCACCCTATGGCAGGACACTCACCCCAGACGCCCATCCATGGCAGCTGCTCCACCTGGGATGATCTTGGTTATGAAAATGCCAGGGTCATCAGGAATGTGTGGATTATCGATCCCTCCAGCAATGCTAAATCCAAGGCCAGAATTTCCCTGACAAGTGTTAAAAAAAAAGGAATAAATAAATGGGATGAATCGTAGAGTTGGAAGGGATCCTGATAATCATCTAGTCCAACCGCTTGCAACGCAGGGATCCAACCTGAAACTTTGGTGTTATCAGCACCATGCTCTAACCAACTGAGCTACCCAGGCTGAGCTTATATGCTAACGATAATTAGAACAATGCAGCAATTCAAGGGCACTGAAAACATTCAACAGAAAATAACAATGGACATGAATGTAAAACTTGAAGTCTGCCAGGTATCCTGATGTGGAAAATGAAAAAATCTCCTAGCCTCTGTTGAAAAGCACAGTCCTACCACATATAGCTGGGTCAGTTCTCAATACCATAAGCTCTGGTTTCCAAGACCACAACAGTGGAAAGAAGAAAGAGGGAACACACATGTTAGATCCCCTTGCCCAGCCATCCCCAACGTGGTGTTGTCCAAATGTTTTGAACTTCAATCAACCATAGTCAGCCATCCAATCTAATGGGAATTGCAGTCCAAAATATCTGGAGAGCACCAGGTTGAGGAAAGGCTGCCCTTTTCTCTCTGTGCTCCCCATGCTTGTACCTACAGAGCCAGGATGCATGGGCCTGCATGGGAGGACTAACAAAGCCCAATACAGTCCAGAGACGAGTAGCACTAGCCCTGGCACCACATCCATGGCAAGGGTCCACTGGCTCTCACTCACCCTTTCCAGGACAATCTCTTCATACTTGAACATCCCGTCACTGCCATTCACCTGGGGAAACAAACAGGAAAAGTTTAACAAACAGATGCTGAAATATGAGATGCCCAAAATCAGTATTGGCGTTCCACTCACCCTTGTAGACACACCTGTTTGCAGAAGCATTTCCCTAGACTTAGACTTCCTGACCTAATTTTTTAAATTGCCTTTTTAATTGTTGTGCTTTTTAAAAGCCTTTTTTACTGCAAGTTTTAATTATGGATGTTTTTGATATTTTTTATGGAATTTTTGTGTGTGATCTTTAATTATGTGTGGATAGCTTATCATTGATTTTATACTTGTAAACCATATAGAAGCTGTCTTGGCATGTAAGTAGTATCTGGGGTTATTATTGTGATTAGACACAATTTCTGGGACACAGGATTTTCTGGCACAAGGCTCCCTGCCTTCACAAATATACAGTGGTACCTTGGTTTACGAACTTAATCTGTTCAGGAAGTCCGTTCTTAAACCAAAGTGTTCTTAAACCAAGGTGTGCTTTCCCATACATAGCAGTGGGGGACTCAATTTACACTCAACAGGAAGCAAAACATGTTCTGCTTCGAAGGCAAACATCTACTTTTGAGTTTGCAGCATTCTTAATCCAAGTTGTTCATAAACTAAGCTGTCATTAAACCAAGGTACCACTGTACGTCCTAATTGTAAGGGCTTATCCACACTTACCTTTTGCCTAACACTTTCTAGACACGGGTCTATGCTTTGAAGTGCTGCATCTGAGCACTCCCCCACACACATTACTTTCCCAGGAAAAACCCCCATTTAACACTGAATCAGAATAAACAACAATTCAGATTTTCCACAGATTTGTTGTTTGCTCTGATTCAGTGGTAAAGAGCAGGTGCAGTGGGGCAAAGCACCGGGGCGAAAAAACACAAAGAACCAAAATCCCGGTGCTCAGACACACTTGTATTTTAAAGTGGAACTCTGGGTGAGCCCGTAATATATCACATCAGAGGCAGGCTGAGCAGAAGCAAGGAGGGGGAGAGATCTGAAGAATATCCTAACAGCCTCAGCAAGAAACTAAGAAGTGGATGGGACATATTCAAATGCACTGGAAGCTAAGGGGGGGGGGGGACAAAAGAGATATTTATTAATCCAACACATTAGAAGAGACAGCACATCTAAATGTTTTGTTTTGATTTATCTGAATTTCTCTAAAGAAGGGCCATTAGGGTTGAAACAAGTTGGATTATTAAATCCCTCCTTTGACAACCCCATTCCAATTCACTCCCACTTCAAGTTCCTTTTTGGGGTGCCCATTTTGTTGCATCATCACATCCTCAAAGGACCACTGATTGTGGTGACTAAAGGGCCATGAAAAGTCCAATTCTGAATTTTGCCGGCTCTGCACAAATATGCCTCCCCTGCCAGGGAGAGGCGCATGGTGCAGCTTCTGCATTAACTAAACAAAAATTCTGCACATAACCACAACTTGCACCGCTTATTCTGCTTTCTAGATCAGCAGAGAAGGGCCGGGACAGATGGGATGGGGAGGATAGAGACCAGGGACCAGCAGAAGCAGGTGGGGGAAAGCAGCAATTTTGAAGGGCAATGAAATGCAGAGTGTACCTGGGAGAAATTAGATTCAGTTCACGTTTAAAGGCAAACCTTACAAATTTGTACTTTTTGGGGAAAAAATATGCATCCTGAAACACAGGCATCCACTTTCCCAAATTTTGCAGCGCAGTACTCTAGCCAAGTAAGGTGCACCCAAAAATGCATACACTGGGGCAAAGCGTGCATAAAAATGCATATATTAGTGAAGATAATGTACAAAAATGCATTGTGTCAGGGGAAACCACTATACAAAAAAATGTGTACATTAGGCAAAACTACATACAATTTTTTTTTGAAAAATGCTTACTAAAATGTGTTAATAATTTCCTTTTAAAAATGTTTCTAAACTGATGTGGAATGCGGAGAACTGAACTCAAGATTGGAAAAATGAGAATGAGAGAAACTAAAATGCCCATCCCTTATCTCACTCACCAAAACCAGAGAAAAAGCTGGGAGTTTTATGTCCCAAAGGCAACAGATTTCTGTGGCCAGCAAACAGAATATTCTAGAATTTCCAGGTGGAATTTGTCAGGAATGCCTAGTCCCCTTTTTATTTTCTTTTAACACATGCATAACGCAGATTCTTGACACACTGTGGTCACTCCATATCTAGGAGTGATATGGGAGGACACACCCAGGAACGCTAAGTTCTCCATGCCTTGGAGTTGTGAGACAGGTTTTGTGCAATGAGCTGTGCCTTAGCTACGGGGAAGGGGGGACTAGCCTGGTTTTTGCCCCGAGTGCAGCGGTGTGGGTGTAGGCAAATGTGTCTTGGGTGTGTGTGCCGAAGTGGGTGTTTGACCTGGGTGAAATAAAGCCTCATTTCACCTTCGGCAATGAGCCCCATGCCACTGTTGGCAAGAAAGAGAAACTTCCTTCCCTTCACAGGACATTGTAGGACTCTGTGGACAAGGCACAAACCACACAGGAAAAGATGCAGACTTACAGAGAGGGCAGGCTCCAGGGTTTCTGTGTTCACAATAATGGGCGAGGGGCTGGCCTGAAAGAGAGACAAAAAGAAAAAGCCATGGTTGTTCATTTAAATTCCCATGATAAGAAGACAGGGAGCGCTGCCTTATATACTGAGCCCGGCTGCAGGTCCATCTAGCCCATGGTTGTCTGCACCGGCAGGCAGCAGCTCTCCAGAGTTTCAGGGAGGGTTCTCTCCCAGCCATACCAGGAATTGCCAGGGATTGAATATGAGAACTTTTGAAGGCAGGTGATCCACCACTAAGCTACATCCCTTCAACCAAATCGACCCAGGCCCTCCCTTCCCAGATTGGCTTCCTGCAACCACTCAATCTGCCCCCACCAGAAAAGCCACATTCCCATCTACAGTTCTCCCCAGGAAGCAAATTCCCCCAGCTTCTCTATTGTGCAACAGCAGGAAATCAATCCACCTTTTTTCCCCAGTCCAGCAATTACCCTGCCTCTTAGGAACCAAGGAACCAACCGAAAGCTTTCCGGATATGGATTCTAAGGAACCGCCTTACCCCAGGTTCTTCAACCGAGGCCCTTCAGATATTTGTCTGACCACAACTCCCATCATCCCCAACCAGCTTGGCCATTTTGGACTACCACACCCATCAGTCATGCTGGCTGGGGATGATGGGAATTGTAGTCCAAAAAGCTGGAGGGCACCAGGTTGAAGAAGGCAGGTTTACTCTGACTGCTCGTTCTCCAGCCCCAGGCAGTGATTCTCGTTGGACTTGTTACCAAAGGTCCTTGTAACCCAGAGCAGGGCTGCAAACATGCCCCCCTTCTATGGAACAGCGTTCCTGCATTTCCCAGAAACAACTGAATATATTTTTGTTCCAACAAGCCGCCTTGGCTGGATTAAAAGATCTCTGCTCTGTGTTTTTTAACTGCTTTTTATGCTGCTTTTTACTGCATTTTGTACATTGTCTTGAGACATGGGGTGTGAAAGGCAATCAATTATTGCATCAATCATAATAATGATAACTGCACCAAGCACTGCTGGTGCAGGTAGCTGGATATAACACCTTTCACATACAATGCATGTGCTGAGCCAATTTACCCTCCTCCCCTTCTAAAGCAAATGTAAGGTATCTCCTGGAAAAGAGAGAGAGACAGAGAGAGAGAGTTGAATCCTGTACTGTAGGGTAATGTTTTTACAACAACAACAACAAAATTAAAAAATGATTTGGCATTTATTTCTGAATTTCTAGCCCTGCTTTCCAGTCATTCCAAGCAACTGTAATTTTTTTTTTAAAAAACAGCTCAGAGCAATTTAAAAGCACATTTAAACATGCATTATTGAAATACTAAACATATATAATAAATAGGACACGTGCCAGTTTTTACTAGTAACTCTAAAAAACGAAAAGAAAATTTCCAGCTCTCCACACCTGGTGGATCAAAAAATCTGGCAAATATTAAAACACGTTCATGGTCTTCTTAAAACCACAGGCAGTTGAGTACAATGCAAGTCTGATCTCCGCCCGCCCGCCAAAAACCCCCTTGGGATTGTAAACCCCTGCTCACAAAATCCCTGCCCCAACCCAGGGCTACATGTCTCTTCTGATTAAGCAATTGGGAGCTGTTCAGCACAAGAACCTGCTGAAGGTAAGTGAGGAGGAGGGAGGCTTGCTCAGTGGTTAAGAGCATACACTTTGCAAGCAGAAGATCAAGCCTCCAGGACCAGCTGGGAAGGGATGAAGAAGACCTTTCTCTAACTGTGAGAGCCACTGCCTGTCAAAGCCATTATTATTATTATTATTATTATTATTATTATTATTATTACAACAACCTGCCTTTCACCTTAAAGTGGATGGGTTACAATAATTACATGTTACACATTCTTAAAAACACTTCACAATATTAAAATATTGCAGAAGCACCTTACAACCACAGAGAAAGGTAGATCCTAAACTGACTGGGAAGATAAGATATCAACGAGATCAAAAATTCATAGAGGACTGGGGAAAATTAACAGATTACTGGGAATGTTTAAGTGATAATGAAATAATGTTAGTGGCATTTAGAGAAGCTCTGTGATAAAATAAGAAATATTGTAAAAAAGTAAAATATAAGAGGGGGAAGGTATAAAGGCAATATCAAAATTTGGAAATGTGTATTTAAAAAAAACTAAATTCGAATGATTGGCAGAGAAGTCGAAGGAAGTCAAAAACTGAAAAGTTTAACTGAAATTGTAATATGGAATGATTGTATGGAAAATTAATAAAATATGATTATAAAAAAAAAGAAAGGTAGATCCTAAAGATATACATCTCAAAAGCCAGGGCAAATAGGTGAGTCTTCTGCACCCACCCAAGATGCCTAGCGAAGGTGCCAAGCGCATTGGAGATCCATATCTTAGGGGCTGCCGCAGGACATTCCCTCTCCTAGGCAGCCCGCCCCCCAAGATTATGAGAGAAGTGGAACAACTAAGAGGGGGCTGCCCAAATGGTATATGCATAAAAATGGAAAGAAAAAGCAGTTCCAATGAAAGACAATCAACAATTAAAACTGATGGAATACGCAGAGATGGCGAAACTTACCAGAAGAATAAGAGATCAAGATGAGAGACTTTTTTTTAGCAGAATGGGGGGAAATTGTTGAATATATGAAGACAAATGGTAAACAATTTTAGAACGTTAGCAGGATTGACATAAACCCGAGCAGTAAGAAATAACATAAATTTGTAAATAGGTTTGAATTGGTTATGCAGTAAGATTATTATATAAAGTAAGGAATTGCGGGGGGGGAGTCGAAGAAAATGCAGGTTACATTTGTTTTGATTTAATTTTTGTTGTTGAGATGTTGTAAAGTGCAGAAATGGAAAAATATTTTTGAAAAGGAACAATTAAGAGAGACACCACTACTTGCATTAGTACCTAATAGGGTATTAAGGAAGGAGATTGTGGTTTCTATTGTCTGCACCTTGAATTGGGCTCCATATAAAGCAGCTTCGTGGGGCACCAAGAGCATTCCCGAGAACAAAATAAGCTGCCCCTGATTTTGGCATGATCGACATTGCCAAAAGCCAGGGCAATGGAGCTTTAACATGCACAGAAGGGGAGTGGGTGGAAGAGGCCCAAGGCACCTCCAGAGAACACAGCCAGGATGTACGCATGCCTGCTGGGTGTGTGAGAGAGTAATATGGCCACTGCCATTCAGATGGCAAGAGGCTGGCTGGTGAATACTGCCCTGGATTCTTCCAGCTATCGGAAGAGATTTTCCCTGCCCAAGGGTGAACAGGTTGGTCCCCGAGGACTGAGCCGCGTGCTGCTGAAAGGCCTTGTCACATCCCTTCCATCCAGGCCACTGCCTCCCATTCTTGTTGCTCATTCAATCTCCCTGAGATGCTCAAGGCAGCACTCAGGACCCTGAAGAGCTCCCCATCCCAGCCTGGTTTCCAGCCGAATGGGCAGATTGTCGCTGGTGCGGCTGTGAAGAAGTTGCAGAGCGGGGAAAGCTTCTAGGGGATTCTGAGCTCACATAAAAAATGTGGAGGGATGCTTCAGAGGGCAACGGGCCATGAGAGAAGGGGCAAGAAAAACACAATAGGGGAAGGATAAGCAGAGGAATCAGGAAGGGGAAGCAGTAAGCAATGTGGCCAAGTCATCCGTCCCCAGCATCTCTGAACAGTTGGCCTGTGTTGGGCTGGTGAATTGGAAGCTGGCCACTGAGAGACCATTAAGCTTATTGGGGGACACTGGTCTGATGGCACAGAGGGAGGACCTTAGTTTATTTCTTTAACTGACACATTGCATAACCACCTTTCTTTCTCAAAGAAACTTCAAGGGCCATTGCTTTGTGGTGGAATCCTTGCTTGGAATGCAGAAGGTCCCAGGTTCAATCCCCACCATTTCCAGATTTAAGATGACAATGGCAATAATATCAGTTGCAGATGGACAAATAAGCTGACCTGCCATAAGGTAGCTTCTTATGTTTCCCAGGTGGCAAATGTAAAAAAGGAAAGAAAAAACAAAAACAAAAACAAAAACAGGAACAGAAAGAAACCTGGAACCAGATATAACAAGAAGAGAAGTGGGTATCCAGCATTAAAACTAGAGTTAGGATAAGACCAGATTTTTAAAAGGCCCAGATGCCTTAAAAAGCATCAGAGTACATGCTAGGCAGGTCTCCCTGGGAGAGCTTTCCAAAGATATGGTGCCATAACCAAAAAGGCTCTGTCAAGTCACCACCCACCCACCCAAATTATTTATTTACTATATTTGTATCCTGACTTTCCTTCGAGGAGCTCAAGGGTGGTGTTTACAGCTGCACCCCTACCCTCAACTCCAATTTATCCCTAAGATGTTGGTTAGGTAATTGCTATTGCCATGGTTTATTTCATGTATGAATTGCAGCAACTCAAAACACTTTTAAAACATAATAAAGTCGCATGTAAAGCAATTGCATACATTCTTGGAGGACACAAGATTATTTAGATCAGTTCCAATCTGGGTTCAGAACTGAGTCCACCTTGGTTGCCTTGGTGGATGACCTTTGCAGAGGGTGGGACATGGGAGTGTGACCTTGTTCCTGCTTCTTGATCTCTCGTCAGCATTTGATACCATCAACCATGGTTTTCTCCTGGACCAGTTCCAGGGAATGAGAACTTACAGCGATTCCAATCATACAGTGTTGAGAGAGTGCCTTTCTGCCCCCTGGTGGCCATGCTATGGGGTGCCACAGGAGGCTATCTTAACTCCAGTGCTATTTAATATCTGTTGTGAGCAATCATTAGGGGTTTGGGGGAAATGCAGATGGCACGCAGCTCTATTTCCCCATAACAACTGAATCAGGGTGGGCCATGCAGCCTGGATACAATGGGGAAATGGATGAAGAAAAACAAGCTGAGCTTGGATCCTGGCAAGGTGGAGGCACTGTGGGATGAGTAGCTCCTCTGTCTGAGAAACTGGTCAGTTATCCACCCTGGATGAGAGAACAGGCTCGTAGTTTGGGGCACTTCTGGATCCAGCTCAGTCACTGGGGGCTCAGGTAGCATCAATGGCTAGTACAGTCATA